GGTTCCCGGTTGGATTTTGGGGAGGTTCCCGGTGGATTTTGGGGAGGTTCCCGGTGGGATTTTGGGGAGGGGTTCCCGATGTATTTTGGGGAGGTTCCCGATGGGATTTTGGGGAGGTTCCCGGTGTATTTTGGGGAGGTTCCCGATGGATTTTGGGGGGGTTCGGGATGGATTTTGGGGAGGTTCCCGATGGATTTTGGGGAGGTTCCCGGTGGGATTTTGGGGAGGTTCCCGATGGATTTTGGGGAGGTTCCCGGTGGGATTTTGGGGAGGGGTTCCCGATGGATTTTGGGGAGGTTCCCGGTGGGATTTTGGGGAGGGGTTCCCGATGGATTTTGGGGAGGTTCCCGGTGGGATTTTGGGGGTTTCTCGATGGATTTTGGGGAGGGGTTCCCGGTGGGATTTTGGGGAGGTTCCCGATGGATTTTGGGGAGGGGCCCGATGGATTTTGGGGAGGTTCCCGGTGGGATTTTGGGGAGGTTCCCGATGGATTTTGGGGAGGGGTTCCCGGTGGGATTTTGGGGAGGTTCCCGGTGGATTTTGGGGAGGTTCCCGGTGGGATTTTGGGGGTTTCTCGGTGGATTTGGGGTCCCGGTGGGTTCGGGATGGATTCTGGGGCTCGGGATGGATTTTGGGGTGTCTCTGACCGGCGGCCAGCAGCCGCTGCACCCGCAGGTAGCTGATGGTCAGCCGCATGATGGACGCTTTGTCCAGGTGGGCGCTGACCCCGCGGGCGAAGGGCAGAGCCAGCGCCAGCTGCCCGAAAACCTCGGCCTCGCGACTGCGGCGGCACCGGGCGGCGTCCCGGGAGCGCTCCCGGCGGCCCTCGGGGGTCGGCCTGGGGGGGAGACCCCAAAAATGAACCCCAAAAAATCCTCCTCTTCCATGAGAACCACCCCCCGGATCACAAAACCCGCCCCAAAACTTCCCCCGGTGAGCCCCGCCCTGTCCCGGGAGCGCTCCCGGGGGTCGGCCTGGGGGGGGAGACCCCAAAAATCCCGAATTGAACCCAAAAAATCCTGAATTGAACCCAAAAATCCCGAATTGAACCCAAAAAATCCCGAATTGAACCCCAAAAATCCCGAATTGAACTCAAAAAATCCCGAATTGAACTCAAAAAATCCCGAATTGAACCCAAAAATCCCGAATTGAACTCAAAAAATCCTGAATTGAACTCAAAAAATCCCGAATTGAACCAAAAAATCCCGAATTGAACCCAAAAATCCCGAATTGAACCAAAAAATCCCGAATTGAACCCAAAAAATCCCGAATTGAACTCAAAAATCCCGAATTGAACCCAAAAATCCCGAATTGAACTCAAAAAATCCTGAATTTCACCCCAAAAATCCCGAATTGAACCCAAAAAATCCCGAATTGAACCCAAAAATCCCGAATTGAACCCCAAAAATCCCGAATTGAACTCAAAAAATCTCGAATTGAACTCAAAAAATCTCGAATTGAACTCAAAAAAATCCTCCTGGATCACAAAATCCCCTCCCGGATCCCCCAAAACTCCCCCCGGTGAGCCCCGCCCTGTCCCGGGAGCGCTCCCGGCGGCCCTCGGGGGTCGGCCTGGGGGGGAGACCCCAAAAAAACCCAAATTTAACCCCAAAACCCCCCAAATCGAATCCCAAAATTCCCCTTGGATCCCCAAAATCCCGCGTTCCCGCCTTCCCATATTCCCATTTTCCCCCATTTTTTCCCCGTTTTTCCCCATTTTTTCCCCGTTTTTTCCCATTTTTTCCCGTTTTTTTCCCATTTCTTCCTGTTTTTCCCCCATTTCCCCCCATTTTTCCCGCCATTTCTCCCCGTTTTTCCACGATTTCCCATTTTTCCACGCTTTCTCTTTGTGTTCCCTTTTCCAAGCGTTCCCACCATCCCGTATCCCGCTTTTCCCCCATTTTTCCTCATTTCCCCCCATTTTTGGCCCGTTTTTCCCCATTTTTCCACCGTTTCCCCCCATTTTTTCGCCGCTTTCCCCGGTTTTCCCATTTTTCCCTGCTTTTCCGTGTTTTCCGCGCTCTCCCGGGGCCGCGCACGTGCCGCTCCCGGCACGCGCCGTTCCCGGTTTTTTTCCCGGTTTTTTCCTCATTTTTTCGCCGTTTATCCCCGTTTTTTCGCCGTTTATCCCCATTTTTTCCTCCGCTTTTCCCGTTTTTCCCAGTTTTTCCCAGTTTTTCCCAGTTTTTCCCCGCTCTCCGGGGGCCCCGGGGCCGCGCACGTGCCGCTCCCGGCACGCGCTGTTCCCGGTTTTTCCCCGTTCCTGTTCCTGGCTCCGGGCCCGGGGGCCGCGGCCGGGGCAGCGCGGGGGCCCCGGGGGGGCGGGGCCATGCAGATTTATGGTGATTTATGTAAATGAGGGGGAGGGGAAGGCGGGAATGGGAGCAGCGCTGGAATGGGAGCGGGACCGGGACCGGGACCGGGACCGGGAGCAGAACCGGAACCGGGAACGGAACCGGCTTCAAACCGGGACCAGAACCGGGCACTGACCAGAACCGGGACAGGGAACAGAACCGAGACCAGTACCGACTTCAAACTGGGACCAGAACCGGGCACTGACTGGGACCGGGACCAGCACCGGGACCGGGACCAGAACCGGGACCAGAACCAGGACCAGAACCGGGCACTGACCAGAACCGGGACAGGGAACAGAACCGAGACCAGTACCGACTTCAAACTGGGACCAGAACCGGGCACTGACTGGGACCGGGACCAGCACCGAGACCGGGACCAGAACCGGGACCGAGACCAGAACCGGGACCAGAACCGGGACCGGGCACTGGCTGGGACCGGGAACGGAACCAGAACTGGGACCGGGACCAGAACCGGGCACTGACCGGGACCAGAACCGGGACCGGGACCAGAACCGGGATCAGAACCGGGCACTGACTGGGACCGGGACAGGGAACAGAACCGAGACCAGTACCGACTTCAAACTGGGACCAGCACCGGGCACTGACCGGGAGCAGAACCGGGACCAGAACCGGAATGTGATTGGGACCAGCATCAAGCACTAACTGGGACCAGTACCGGGTGCAAACCGAGACCAGAACCGGGACCAGTACCGGGCAGTGACTGGGACCAGTACCGGAATGTGACCGGGACCAGAACCGACACAGGACCGGCTGCAAACCGGGACCGGTACCGAACCCTGACTGGTCCCGGTACCGAACCCTGACTGGTCCCGGTACCGAACCCTGACTGGTCCCGCCCGTGTCCCCCCGCTGTCCCCTCCGGGACCCCCCCTCATTGAGGGACCCCCCCCCCTCGGCCGCCACGTGGGACCGACCCCCGCCCCAAATTCGGGGGTCCCAAAAGTCCCCAAATTCCTCACGTGACCCCCCCCCCCCCCG